CCTTTCGAAACATGAGACTGTTCTTTATCAATTCTTTATTCGTGTAATGTAATATTTTCAACTCTGAATAATTTCTTTTCTTAAGATCCATATAAAACTAGAAATCAACAATTCTTTAGGTTATTTTTCAAAATATAAATAAACAATATCCCGATGAGTTGTAACATTTGTCGTAATAGTTCATTCTCGGTCATATATCCAATTTCTGACAATTTCTTCTCTCGAAGAAGATCCGTAGGAACTGTTTACGTTGTTTCTGAAAATACGAACAAACACAGTGAACCGGTCACGGTCAATCGGCGATGGTTAAAGAGTTAAGGGTTGGAAGCCGATATTCAACCCGTCGAAAATCCCGTGTAAACAGCCGGCGACCGCTAAACAACCGAGTTCGAATGCTTAGAAACCTCGTCCGGCGGCCGGATAATTCGAAAAATCGATTGGATCTCGCAGACACGTTGACCCAGAAACCCACCGGTCGAGCCACCGGCGGAGCTGGATCCTCGAGTTTTAAGCGGCCGAACCGGCGCCGCAACTATTCCAGCTCCGGTGTATCCGAGCAGAATATACTCTAGGCGATATCCGCGCGCTGTGAAGGAGAGACCGGTCGTTACGCTATGCAATACCGTTGTGGCCGATGTGGTGCTCGTGATAATGGATCAGATGGTCGCAGAGCGGATGCTGGCTAGGATTGTACTCGGGGCGAAGTTCCGGCGGGCAGTCAGGTCCCTGTCTGGCGTTCCTCGCCGCGGCCACGATGCGCTCCCGAACCTCCTCTGGCCCCTTTATTTGCTCCACTGTTAACAATACGAAAGGGAGCGCAAGCTGAAGTGAAACAGTTTATCTCGCAGTTAATTGTTATTGGCGGGTGAAGACCGTTCCGGCTAATTGCACGGCCACGTGATTCCCTACGGTGGCGTCTAATACAGGGAATTTTCACGAGAGTGAGTCGGAGCGGGGTTGGTTTGAATGGCAAATGATCATGGAGCGACTTTTTATGCGATTTTCGGCAAGTTCGAGAGATCCAGATTTAATCGACAGATTAGAATAGAATTATTTGAGAAAAACATTCCGGATTCATTTCGAGCACGGAACATACGGGGAATCGAAAAATCTACACATTTAAGCTATAGATAAAATAGATATAAATTACCAGGAGCAATAGTATTTGCGTGTGAGGAGTATATTATACTCACGTATAAAATCAGCAGGGTTGTAATGTGGCAGCAGCGTGAGTCCGATCGTGGAGAAAAACCTGCCGATATTCGCTGTGGGGCCGTAATACGCGACCTGGCCACGGCTCAACAGCAGGATCTTGCTGAAACTGTGGAACATCCTCGAACTGGGCTGATGCACTGTTACCACGATGCTCTTGCCTTCTTGTTCGGCGTATTTCTTCAATCGTGAAATCAGTGCCTGTGCCGAATGCGAGTCTAACCCGCTCGTTGGTTCCTGAACAAATACATCATTGTGTGAATTAATCATTTTATTTCGAGCACTCGTTCGAGGAGTAATATATAGCAGCCAATGATCGGGAGAATCTTCATTTTTTTTTTAATAATACTGATATGAATTTCGAATTCATTTTTGATGGCCTTGTCTTTGAAATCAAGCTACGATTGTGTCAGAAATAGTTTGAGAATACGATAATTGTGAATTGTTTTTTTTTTTTTTTTTTTTTTTTTTTTTTA